CCGGGGGGGGGGGGAGATGGGCAGGCCGCACTCACTGGAAAGCCGGGGCGGCGGTGCCCGCGAGGCGCCGGTTCTCCCAGGGCTTCGGGGGGGGAGGCTGCGACGCCATGTCCTGCCCCGCGCCGAGCAGAGCACAGCGGAGCAGAGCGCAGCGCAGCGCAGCTGCCCCCCGGCTGCTGAGCGCGCGGCCCAGCCAGGCCTGACGGGGGGAGAGCCGAGCTGGCCGCCGCCGCAGGCGCTTGTGGGCAGGGCCGCTCCTCTCGATCGGTGGCTCCGGCTGCCTCTGCTGTGGCCTGCCCGGAGCCTGTTTCCGGGGGGCGGGGTGGGACGGAGCGCATGCGCACGCACCCAGGTGCGAGGGGTTCGTGGTCCCGCTGCAGCTGCGGCTCCTGCAGCCCCCGGAGGTAGGCGGCGTGCGCGGCCTGGAGCGTGTTCGCGGCCGCCGCGGCGTGACCCTTGTATCCTGCCGTCCCCGCGCGCCGCGACTTCGCTGCCACGTGGCCTGTGGGGCTTAGGGCTGAAGCTTGCAGTCCCGTGGAGGCGGATGCGGCCCAGTTGGAAGCCTGTTAAATAACCCGCGCGGGCGCGGAGACGTGCCCCCGCCTGCATAGGTGTGCACGTGCGTGCGTGTAGAGGGTCGCGCGCACGCATGTACCGGTGTACGTGTGGGTGCTTACAGGCACGTGCATACGTGTGGGTGTGCATGCCTACGTATGTACATGCGTGTATGTGGTTATACACCTACATGGAGCATCTTGAGTGACGCCTATGCACACAGGGAGTATATCTCAAGTGACCGTTCCTTCTGCACCTACAACTCACGAGGTTATCTTTATATGTATATGCACGTGTATATGAAGATATCAAAACAAAATCCCATTTAAGATGTATAGATTTTGCTTATGTCTGTCTATATGTGTAAGTTATATGTGTGTGTGTGTGTATACAGTGATGGCCTTAGGGTTGTTGGGGCCCTGGGCAAGAGTCATTTGGGGCCCTTTTGAGGCTTAATTTTGATGACCTATAAGCAAGTTGGACATTAGTTGCAAAAGTTTAGGAGCCCCTAAAGTGTGGGGCCCTGGGCAGTCATCTGGTTTGCCCTCCCCTAAGGCTGTGTGTGTGTGTG